GTCTATGTTGAACAAGCTTAACAAGACCCGGGTCCGGTCATAGTAGGTATTACTAGTGACTTTCCCATGGACTGAATATATAGTTTATACGAAAGATCAGTAGTGAAATATTAAAAAGACGTAGAGGACTTAAGCTGAAAAGGAAGTATACGGCCAGCCAACTTCAAACCTTAGCTGACTTCGAACCTACATTTAATTTTACTTAATGACATTTATTTGGATTTATGGACGTTTTAAAAAATTTTTACTAATCTATGGGCTATGTAAAACAACAATGACATTAATTTTAGTTCAGCTAGTGGCATGTATGCAATCAAAATTTAAAATATTTATTGAATCGCAATCAAATTTTGTTATTTATGTGCCCCAAGAAGTCCTAACGGTCTTGTCACAGAGCACCGCGAAAATGGATTTAACCAGGAAGTTCACGCGCCCTTCCTTACTGTGACGCGAAATATATTAAAGGCTCATTTCAAACCCAGATCCCCGGCTTATAAAGCAAGCGCTCAAACCACTAATATATAAATATACCTGGTTTATTTGCACCATGAATCAGTATTATTAACCAGGTTGCCAAAATCGGAAACTTAGTTCCATTTAAGTTAAGGGATAAAAAGCGCCTACTTTGTACCTTATTAAAATGTTAAGGCTTGCAACAAAGATTTCTTTAAAAGATGTTAGCAAATGATTTAAAAGTTTTGAAAATTATAAGCTACTTTCAATATTTAAAAAAAAAATTTTGGGATACGATAAAAAGTTGAATTGTGTTATTAGTAACATAATGTTACCAAAGAGAAATAGTTAATGTACTATCTTTATCAAATTAAACAATGCATTGGCAAAAATAATGTCGCAATTAAATACGCAAATAATATAAACTTCTTTCAAACAATTGTAGGCTAGACTGGGGTAATTCTATCCCTGGGGAAATTCCACCCTCTAAAAAGATATGGAGCAATACAGATAAACTAAAAAAACTTGAACCACTTTTACTTCATGTTTTTGATTGCCAACTTTCTGTTTCTCACTAAGTATATGCTTCCTGTATCCATACTGATTTAGAAATTTGTTTATGAAACTTTTTTTGGAAATCCAAAATCATCTTCAATCTAAGTACTATATATGTACTTTAAAATACATTTTAAAATATATTTTTATTGATCATCATACTTTTATTTATCATCATTTATTTTTTGGATGTGTTTAATGTGTACAGAGATGATAAAATTTTTAATTTCACAATTTGAACCTTTGCTTGTAAATATCTTTAGGCAACATGTTAATTTAGTAGTATTAATATCTGTATATGGTATTAGATATATAATTATTCATAATTTCAACCAAATAAGACAATTTTAGTCATGGGTCAAATCTCACACCTTTTCATGAAAAACTAGGGAAGCGGCAAATGGAGACGAGAGGAAAGGCCATAAAAAAACAGTGTAGTGAAAGCCTCACTTCAGATAAATGCATTGCTAGGCTCACTAAAAAAAATTAGGCTAAAACCAAGCCGGAAATTGTCTTCATTTCAGGTAAAGGGAAGGGAAAAGACATGAAAAAAACAACAATGAGTGATGCCGCAGACAAACCAATTTTATGCACAATGTGTGGGGTAAATGTGGATGACCCTAAAGTTTGCAATCTGAATGTTATGTATGACCTCCCCGCTAACACAAAACGTTCAAGTACGTTTTAATTTTTTATGAAAACGTGTAGAAATTACCCCTATTTTGTTTTATAAAAAAATATTAAAATGTTTTTTTGTTAAAATTTTATATCAACAGTTTGCTTAAATATGTAAATAAAATGAATTCTTTTACTATTCTCTTGTTTTTTATTTTATATAGTGGTTTTTAAGGATTTTTTAGAAGTAGTGGATAGATCCAAGCAACTTTGTTGATATTATTTTATCCCTTTTGTATTACACTATATGTAACATCTAAAAAAACAAAAATAAAATTTTTTAATTTAATTTGATTCACTTACAAGTTAAAAACCTATTTTTAATTGAATATGGTTTGGGACTTTTATTATTACTTGATGTTAGAGCAGAGTAAAGTAAATGCAAATTTTATGCTTTAATATTTAATTTAATATTACATTACTTCCATGTGATTGTGCCCATCAAGACATCAGGGTTGCATACTTCAAAAAAATCTTTTGAAAAATTGCATTAATTGACCCTTAAGCCTGAGATGAGGGTCAGTTTTATCTGTCCTTTATATGGTTGGCTGATCTGCTTTGAACAAAACATTTTTTGTATCAAAAAAAAAAAAAAAAAAAAAAAAAAAATTAAAAACATAAATTAAAACATATTAAAATATAATTAAAACATGCTTTTAATAAAATATAAAGCTATATAAAATTATATCTTTGTACAGACTTACATATAAATCAAAACTTACATATAAAAAAGATATATATATATATATATTTATATATACATATAAAGGGGTGATTGATCTTCCCTATATTTAAATATATGCATTCAAATTATAGCTTATTTAATGTATGTTGTTCTCCTTTCAAATTAAAATTTGTAAAAATTAAACTTTTAAATCACATCATTGGTTACTAGTTTGAGCTTAAAAGCCATAAAAAAAATTGTAAACTAAATGTTTTACATATCTATCTGAACTCATAACTTCAAAACAAAGCAGAAGATCAACAGATAGTAAGTTTGTTTGGTTTAAAATTTGAACCTTGTTTGACATAAATTATTGGATCATATATGCAACTTGTATTTGGAACAGCAATCTATATTAAACAAAAAGTTGACCATTTTCAGGTGTTTGCTTGACTGAACTTTAAATGATCTTAAATTACTTAATCACAATTGCTATTGGCGTTGAACTAAATTTCCATTTCCAAATTCATATACTTGTTTATAGTAAATGAACAACAACAGAACATAAATCTATACATACAAACTTTTTATTTTAAGCTTCGTTAAAAGTAGATTTGTTAACTTAACTTGCTATAAAACTGTATACTTTTTATAAACTTTTTTCCTGCCAATTTAGATGGGGAACATTGTAAAAATTGATCAAGCCATGTTACGTAAAAAGATACACAAAAATATTATCGAAAACATGATGCATATTTTTCTTTAATTTGAAAATCTTTAGTTTTCTTTTTTTGCACACAAAAACTTTAATACTTTTTGAAAAAAAATGTTTTTCAAAAATACATCAGAACTCATTATGGTATTTTCATTTGTATATACCCTGTGTATAATAGGTTGATTTTTAAATTGGCTAAAATATAAACCATCACCATAGCTTTAGAGATAGCAATTACAATTGTATAAACCTGGATAATAAATGATATTATGATTTTATTATTTATGATATTATAGGTATTTTTATTGTTATTATTTTCATTATTATTACTGTTATTATAAAATAAATGTTGCTCCTATTGCTTTTATTTGTTGTTGTTGTTTGCATAAAGTTTCTTATCATAGTAGAAGCACTAAGATTAAAAAATAAAGATAAAACTCAAGAATGTGCTTGTTATAACTTTACTAGACATTTCATGCATGTTACACTCAAAATTTTGGTTTTAGAAATAATTCCTTAGCCATCCTCACAAAATGACTAATAAACAACCAACTATACACCACTAGTTACTCTTTGTTATAGCGTTGAAATATATATGTATTTTTTTATAATAGATTTAATCATTTTAGTAAAGATTGTAATAATTTAAAGAATGAAATTTTGATAGGGTGTGTTAAACCTTCCCCAAAACCCAACACCCAACTTTAAGATAAACCTGTAATATTTGCTAGTGATGTGGAATAAATATATAATAACTTGTTGTATATAAATATTACTAATTTTATAAAGAAAACACTCTATTTAAAAAAAAAAATTGTATTTTTGTGAGGTGTAGGTGGCGGATTAGCACCCCCTCTGGATCCCTCTATGCGCCCTTTACCTAGACACTAGTTTGAAATTATAGCCCATTTTTACATCTATCTTTTGATACTAAGTTATAGATATTTGAATAAGAATTGTCAAAGTTATAATAATTTATGTAGAAATTTTTTTTTTTTGACCACAGTTTTATCAAGAAATCCATACTTTGAAAAATTGCTACTAAAAACGTTATATTTTTTTATAGAATTGTCTAATTTTCATAATTTTTTCACCTTTAAAATACTGTATTTGAGGGCCTTCCAATGATATATAGCATTCTAGTATTGGATCAATTTAAAGAAATCAGTCCATATACCTATTAATATAAATTTTATTTCTCAAACATACTACACTCTAATATGATATATTATATATGCTCATAGTTTATGAACCAATAATTTTTTATGAATATCTAATCTAAAAGCAAGATATTTAAGTTAATTTACTTTCAAGAATATCACTCTAATTCTAATATTCTTTTCTATCTATTTAAAATCAAATTGTGTGCTCTTGTTCATCTATTAAATTGTCTATTTGTCTGAAATCACACACAAGTTACCCTACCTTTTCCAATCTGTAATTTCTTTACTTCTATAAAAAATTCTCAAAATTATCTTCCTCTATTAGCAACCTTAAATTATATATTCTAAATCATTGTTCAGTTAAGTACAGCATAACAAATCACATCACAAACCAATGCATAAAATCAAAGTAAAATGTTGGACTCATTGTGGGTCATTATTATTGCTCTTGGTATGATTATATGTAATATAAACATCAAAGTTATTTTACTTCTATTCATATCACTATTACTTATCATTATAATTTAATATTAAATTTAATATTTATCAAAATTATTGTTACTATTATTATTGTTATTATTATATTAATATAAATATAATTGTTAACATTACTTACCTCGTTATAATTGTTTTAATATTGTTATTGCTATTATTATACAGTTGGTTTTTACTTAAGATTAGTATTAGTGCTATTTCTAAATATCCATGTTTATGTTGCATACATACACATATATGACATATATGTGTGTGTTTTCTTTTAAGGAATTGCAAGTTTTCTCTGCTTTTTAAAGTTGTATGCTTTTTTTATTATTATTATTTAATTCAGATTGTTGGCGACATGGCACATGTATTAAAGTCTTCTGTCACAGTTGACTCAGCAAGAATGAAGACATTGATACACTTTTGCATTATGGAATATACAAGTTGGCAGTTCCTCGCCCACTGCCACCCAAATACAGGTAGGTATGCATGCATACACAACCCTCAAAATTAGTAAAACTAAAATGAGTTATAAATTGTCGACGTTTTAAGATATGAAAATATATTATTGTTAAATTTTGAGTTTGTAAAATTTATTTTCAGGTATAAGAAATCCTTATCTGTACGTAACAGACGATGGAGACGAAGTGATTATTATGTGTGGCAAAAGATTATTTTATGAAGTTTTTCATTTTCTGACTTCGTGATGGAACTTATTGGAGTACGCTTTTTTTGGATATAGGAGGAATATTGCCGCTACAAGCATGAACAATAATAAAACATTCCAAAGAATAATTTGTAATTTCAACGATTAGATTTGTTGTTTAAATGTATAAATGCTTGTTGAATATTCTTATTATATATCATCCTAATTTCAAAATAATGTTTCATTTTTTCTATAGAAAAAGTACTTTTGTAATATTGTTTTATAGTTCAGGGGAAATATTATTAAAAAAAAAAAAGTCTTATTTTAAATAAAAATAACATTGAAAAAAGTAAAAAATGATTTTTTTTAAGGAATATAAGTTCTTGAAACAAGAAAAAAATACATAATTTTAAGAATATAAGTTCTTGAAACAAGAACTTATATTCTTATATTCTTGTTTCAAGAACTTATATTCTTAAAATTATGTATTTTTTTCTTGTTTCAAGAACTTATATTCCTTAAAAAAATCATTTTTTACTTTTTTCAAAAGTTCTTGTTTTAAGAATAAAAATTCTTAAGACAAGAAAAAAAATTCTTATATTAAGAAAAAAAATTCTTTAAACAAGAAAAAAAATTCTTATATTAAGAAAAAAAATTCTTTAAACAAGAAAAAAAATTCTTATATTAAGAAAAAAAATTCTTATATTAAGAATAAAAATTCTTAAAACAAGAAAAAAAATTCTTATATTAAGAATAAAAACTCTTAAAACAAGAAAAAAAAAATCTTATTTTAAGAATATAAATTTTCTTGAAACAAGAAAAAATATTCTTACGTGGTGGACAAGTCATTTTTTTCTTGTTTTAAGACTTTTTTTGCTTAAAACAAGAATCTTGGATTTTGCTGTGTAGGGAAGACGAAATAATATCAAAAGTCTCTATTAGTTTGGTTACACAAGACTTATGATGAAGGAAGCCATGTTGATTTGTAAAGAGCAGATTGTTATAATAAATGTGCTTCAAGTAATTTGTCTCCCTTTTTTTTATAGATCGGGCTAATATTTGCTAATTTCCAGAGAGATGGTACTATTCCAGAATTGAAAAATTCATAGAAGATTTTTGTAAGCGAAATTGCAAAGCTTTTGGCACATATCTTAAGTATTAAAGGGTGCAACCCGTCAGGTCCAAAAGATTTGTAAGGGTTTAGATTAGTATGTTCATTAATAATATCTGCAATGGAAAAATCCAAGTTGTTATTATAATTGCATTTAGGTTTAACTTTACTTTTATTTAATAATGGAAAAGTTTTGGGGCTTTCAAGAGTAAACATAGATTTGAATTGAGAGTTCAGAAGTTCAAGTATATCGGGAAGAGTTTCAGTAATTTCACCTGAAGCATTTTTGAGAAAACGAATTTTATCTTTAAGTTTTAGTTGGTTGTTAATGTATTTGTAAACGAGTTTTGGGTTGTTCTGAGATTTTGATATAATTTCTTTTTCATATAACATTTTTGCTTTAAATATTTCTGCTTTAACGAAACAATTAAGACGATTGTAATTTGTTTTGAGATTTTTATTCTTCCATTTAGTTGAGCAGTTGATGTGCCAAGCCAATTTTTTGCTCGGATTAAGCTTTTAATATGTAGAATAACTTAAGGATCATACTTTTTTTTTGTTTTTTAAATCTTGGGGATAAAGGATTCGCAAACAGTACGATAATAGGAGATTAATATATTAAACATTTGATGCGCATTTTTTGTGTAGAAGTATAATATCCCAATCGATTGATGCAATAAAGTTTGATATTAAATTATAATCAGCTTTGTTGTAACTAAACAATTGAGATTCGTTTTCGGGTAGCGGTTCTGAAACTAGATTCTCCAGGTAATACTAAAGTCCAGCATATTTTTTGGGGAACCATAGGATGTCTGGAAAGTAGGGAACGTAATGTGTTGTGTAAAGAGGCTGTTTTGGTAAATCTTCCAAAATTCATACTCGTTAGAAATGTTTGGATTAAAAGATTTAATACCATTATTAGACGACTTCATAATCGAGAAATCAAAATCACCAACGATCAAACAGCCATCACATGGCTTCCTAATTAAGCTATAAGCCAATTTAAAAGATTCAGCGACATAGTTTACCAGATTAGTATCATTTGGTCTATATATACACCCAAGACAGCAACAAACATGATAGTCAAAAATGTCTTTGGAGACAGCAACAACATGATAGTCAAACGTTCTAGCTTTTGCAATTAAATCGTTCATTTTGTTATCAAAGTATGTTTTATTTACCCTTGTATTTTATTTTCGTTGTTAGGAGAGTCAAGGGAGGATAGTGATTCTTAGGCCGTAAATTGGAAATTTTTGAGCTTAACAACTCCGCTGCTTCGTATACCGTATCTAAATGGCGATGTTTTTAGATTTATATTATTATTTAGTTCATTACGCTTCATTCTTAGTTGGTAGTTTAGATATCGCTCAGCCTAAGTTAGAACTGGGCAATAAAGACATTTTTGTAATCGAATTTTTTAATTTTTAGTTTAAGTATGATATAAAAATTACACTCAACATCTTTTATCATTTTCGTGTTGTATAGGAAACTACCACTTATAAACTACTACTATAGGAACCTACCACTTCATCCTATGAATATTATTTAAATCATTATACAAACATGCCTAATATTTTTTTTTTTTTTTTTTTTTAAACATGTTTATTTCACAACTACAAATATTTACAATTGACTAATTATCGATTGGCGAATAAAGATATACAAATATAAATATCGTAAACATAAAGTCTAAAATAAATAAGGGATAAATCTAAAATATTGTTACATTCAACTTTGAGACTTGATAAAAATAAATACAAAGTACACAATAGAATAACGTGAACGTAAAAATTATCCAAGAAATAAACCTTCTATATTCTTTCAATCAGAATAAAATATATATATATATATATATATATATATAAAAGTATGATAAAAACAAGATTTGTATAAGATTGAAGAAAATAATTAATTGTTGGTAGTTATAGGAAGCTCGCAGAAGACTGGGGTCAGTCTTGTCATCGAGTACCGTTTAGACGTGTAATACACATAAAAATCAGTTGCATACGTGGCAAATATGTATGTGATACATATATGCCTAAAAATTATTAATGTTACTATCTCCTTTTAGTATTATTTTTGTTGATTCCTTTGAAAAGTTACATTTTTTGTTTTATTAGGGTTGTTTTATATTATTTTAAATTTTTAAATTTTAAATTGGAGTTTAAAAAAACTCTTTGTAGTTGTTTAACTTGATTATTGTAGATTTTAACTTTGTTTTTAGGGACTGTTCGTTGTTTAAATTTATTAGCGATTCGTTTCTAGAAATTATTTTGTTAAATAAATAGGGACCACGATGTTTTATTGAAAACTTTGAGAGTTTAGTTTTTTCAAAGGGTATCTTAAAGTTTCCCGTTGCTCTTGTATTGTACTTGTTTACGTTGTTTTCAAAAAAGTGTGCTGTAAAATGTTCTGGAACCAGACTTAGTTTATATTTAAACATGAAAAGTATATTTTGATAAATATTAATTTGAAAAATATTTGCTTCTTGTTTAGATCCAAGCACTATTACTATAGACTTCTTAATATTTCGCAAGTACAGCTCACATAATATTTTTGCGATAACTCAATTCTTCTAAAGTTTTTTTAAATATAAGATAAATTTATTGTTTAATACCTTTTTCTTGATGTAAACTAATTTATCTATGTTTATTGTTTGCATAGGTATATACCCATTCTTCTTGTTAGCTTTTTCTTTATACTCATATAATCTTTAAATTTTAATTTTTCATTTGCATAGACTATGCAAATGTTTCAAATAATTCAAAAAATAACAACTATGCAGCATAGTTGTTATTTTTTGAACTTACTATTGTCAATTAAAAGGTGTTTTTTTTTTTTATTGTACAATTTTTTTGTTACCTTTAATTGAATCAACAAGGTCTACCAAGTAAGTGGTAAGTTTGTAACTTGGGAATCAAAGTAATAAAAGTTCAAACATGTGTGTCTCTAGGTTCAACTCATATTTTGTTTAATCATCTTTCCTTTCATCACTTGCTATAGTTAGTAACTTTGGAAACCAGTATTTTTTATTATGTGAATATATTTAATGCTAAATTTTTTTTTTTTTTTTTTTCCTGTTTTACTCCTTTTTTAACTTTAGAACCATCTTTATCTGGTACAGTTGGTAAGTTCTAAAAACCTGTTATGAATTCCTTATCAAATGCAACATTGATTTTTTTTAACAATCTTTTAACCTAAGTTCCAACTTTAACTGCAAAAAGTGGTAAGTTTAAAAACTATTACTTTTTAATAGGTGTATGCATTTCTCAACAATTGCAATAATTATTGCAGTTGTTGTAATTTTAAGCTTCGTTGACACCTGCTGCGGATGTCAATGTCATTTCTTTTGTTATGACTTTACTATAGATTTACTATCAATTTCAATTTTTTTTCTTGTTGATTACAGTTTTTTTTTACTTTTAGTTTCATCAACATCTGTCACAGTTGGTAAGTTTATAAGGTATTTTACTGTTCACTCTGTATAGATCTAATAAAAAATATTCTATTTTTTTTAGATCAATACACAGCAGGATTAGATTTGCAATTACTAATTACAAATCTAATCCTGCTGCATTATTTTGTAAAAATACACAATTTTTTAAAAGAGTTGCTCCCAAGTATTTTAAAATCAATTACTAATTTATGTTCCACTGATGAACAACTGATAGAAATGATTTCTGCTTGTCTTAATGCAGTCGAGAATGTCTGGTTCGACAATATGAGAGATATTTCTCTCTTTCTATTACTACGACACTCAAGGAAGAGACTGCTAGTGCAAGGCTTTACAATCTTCTGCTGATAAATGTATAAATTGAAGTGTTTCTTTATTATTGTTCTTTGTTTTTGATAAACTTTAATGCTTATTTTATAAAAATGTTCTATTTTAAAAACAATTACTAATTGC